AATCTTGTCCAGGCGAGCAATCGTCGCCCCTGGCTCGTAAATATTCATAAGGGCTTCATATGGGGTCTGTGAAGAATCCGCCGCCAGACATGCCCCTTCTTCGCGGGCAACCAAAACGAGTTCCTTCAATACAGGTAAGAAATCGGAGAATTTATTATCAGACCGGCTTTTTTTCCATACCTCATGGGCCATAGTGGTAAGTTTCACCTTACGAGCTAAGAAATCTTCCGATAGTGAGCTCATGCGCTTCCATAAAACAGTCATTTCACGAAGATTGCATTTCTGAACGGTAGAAAGTTTGTCTTGTGCTGCGGTGGATTCATCAATCCACTTCTTTACATCTGGTGCAGTAATGTACTGATATTTGAGTTTCTCCAACATAGCAATGGCCTCCCCGCGAGATTCCTGACCTTTAGGAGGCATATACGTTCTGATATCCCAATGACATAGCCCAAGAACGTGTTGAAAACGATAAATCGTCTCAAAAATAGACTCCAGATGGTCATATGCGGACATATCGAGTAGCTTTAGGACCGAATAAAACCTTAGTTTAATATTTTAAAAAATGGTTATACTATTTTATGAAAATTATAAAAAACGACCTCTGGGCTCAAGCGTAGAAAATATAATCATAACATCGTTCTTCATCAGTCTCCCCTCTCTCAAAACTTGGACAAGACATCCGTAAACCGTCAAATCAGAGGAATATGCCCGCATTTACGATGTCTAACAAGTACACATGCCGATTCATTTTGTTCTGTGTTATTGTTTAAAGTTTACACGAATTAGTTGATCAACTTTCACATCGTAGATGTTACTCCCGTCATTGGCAATTAAACACGGTACCGCACCTTCCTTCTAATCGTTGTCATATCCAACTCTTCTTCTTATTATTCTACTTTCCTTTTCACTTAGACTTCGAAGCTTAACACATCTCCTTTTCTCTTTCCAAGGATTTGCTCTGAATTACTTTAAAACGATGTAAAGTTTGACGACCGATATGGAGGTTTATGTAGGTGCGATTTAATGGAACGTATGCGAATGGCTCGATAATACCTGATTTGATGTCCCCCGCACCACTCCCCACTAACTCCTCGCCCTTCCGGATACCCTCCTTCACGCGCAACCGCTTGAGCGCCTGTTTCGCCTCTTTTTGTTCACCCAGCTTCTTGAGGTGGGTTGGCCCTTTCCCCACCCCGTGTCCACCCGTCGCGGGCGTTTTCCAGGGGTGCAGCGGAGCAGCCGATCTCCCAGGGCCTCACGACGCCGACGGTCGTCCTCGACCGCGATTCCCTCCCCCCCCCCAGGCCTGCATCGCGGCGCTCATGAAAAAGCGATCTAGCTCGTTTTGCGCGTCCGCCGCGCGTTTCATCATTTTGTGCGTATAGCAAGGAAAGTTCTTAGAGCCGATGGAAAAGATCGGCTCGATTGCCGTATAGCCAAACCGCTTGAGAACCTTTTCCAAGAGCACACGCACGTTACTGGAAACCCGCGACTGTGAAGTCACGAATGCAATGGGGTAAAGAAGCGAAAAAAAAGAGATTTCTCCACCGTCGTGCGAACGCGCGCGCTGCGTTTCATCAACCTCAGCGCCATTCTGGCAAAAATGGCGGTCGTATTGCGCACCTCCGGAATCGAAGAGTTCATCAGCCGACAATCAAGAGCTATTGCCACGTTTAGGTCCTTTTCAGGGAGCTCCTCGTGCGTCAGGTAGACCATCTTTGCCATGCACACCACAGCGCTTCACACCATCGCGGACGACTTCCCAGTTAGCCCCGCAATCACGAGATGCAAAAGCGTATTCACCGGCCCCCACCAAATACTCTGAATCTTCTCCAGAATATCCATCGCCAACTCGAACGAGAACAAAATCACCTCCCCGACGGTGGTGCGGATAGTCAGGATGAGATCCTGTGGGTAGAACATCTTGCACGCATCCAAGGCCCAGGATAGGCAGCGAATGCGCATTTTTATGCCCGATATCGTCGCGTGTTGACGGCCAACTGATAGAATAACAAGCACACGCGGGAACACGGGGAAAATATCCTTCACGTGGTTCTCGAACACGAGAAGAAGAGTTTATAGGCTTTTTTTCTGCAGCAGGCGTGACTCTGGCATGGGGTCCATTAACACCGGATCGATCACGTCATTAAAGAAGGTAGTGGGGTGCTCCAACTGAGGCTGCGGCACCACCGCACACGCGATATCCAGAACCATCCGACTCCTTGAGGTCAGTGCGGTGGATGATCTATTTCCACTCGGCCCCTCCCCCTTTTTGCGAGTCTTGGCGGTGATTTGCACACTCACATCAAGAATGCCGTTCAAAATATTCGTCATAACGCCCGTACTGCAGACCCTGGAGAAGGTTTCGATTGCACACAGCATCGCGGTCGAGTCGTGCGTTTCGAAGATATTACACAACTTCGGCATGATATTCGCCCTGTACTTGGCGAAGATCGTTTCGCACACCTCCTTCGCGCGCGTCTGGGAGATGCCGTGGTAGGGGTGCGGAGCCCAGCTGAGGTCGTTCACAGCGAGGAAGACATCCTCCTCCCCTAACGCATTCTTGCGGGCACGGATGGCTTGATGGCGGTGGGGATGTCTCTTCCCAACTCCCACCAATGGGTCCTCCCCATCCTCCTTCCCGTTGTCGTTGTTGGGATTGCGTTTAGGGGACGCGGGGGCAATGGTCAAAGAATCGTTTTCCTCGTCGTCTTTGTCCTCCTCTTCCTCAATCCCTTGCGAGAGTTGGTGATAGCCCCCGAAGAGTGCGCGAATCGTGCTCGTGCTCGTATCCACAAAACTCGGGATCGACAAGAATGCTACGAGTGGTTCAAACAACTCGCGAAAAGAGTCCTCAGTGAAGATGGTGGGGAGTTGATAAAACTCCGTAGCGACGCGCCAGTACTGATGAAGAAACGCCGCCCATCGCGCGCGTTCGGCCGGGCGTTGGGCCTGCTCAGCCTCCCGCAAGGGTTGGCTCGCGAATTGAATAAAAGGGAAAATTTTCTTGACAAAGTAGGACAGAGAGTCGTGAGAGGCCGAGAAGCGGAGGATGTTGAGGGTATAGCTGTTTGGCCAGCGCCCCGACACGAGGGCGGCCTCGCGAGGGTCTAAAGGGAGGATTTCCGCGAACTCCGCCACCATCATCGCGCGGGTGATACCCACCAGGGCGCGTTCAAGCCGCCCGTTGAGCTTGATATCATCCATCCTCCGCAGTTTGTGCAGGACCCGCATCAAAAACCCCACAGAAGGAAAAAGCGCTTGGTAAAGCGGCAGGGCCCATGTCATTTGAGGTAGTTTAGACGATTAAAAAAACTTACAAGAAGCTGGGCGGCGAGCCCCAATAACGCTGATAACCCGACTCTTCATCCCTAGTGTTCAGATCGCCGCACAGGATGGTCGTTGCGTGTGCGCTGTCGGCGCTACCGATACTAATACCCTCTAAAATCATGAGGATCTGCCGGATTTCGTGTAGTCTCACTGGCTGTGCCTCCTCTGAATACCCTGCTGTGAGTTGGATGCATCTTCTACATTAAGATTGAGGTTTGTGATTTTGTCGCGCATGGGCACAAAATGGCCAAAATGGAAGTTCCCGGGAAGGTCTTGCCCTGGCATGAGGAACGGTGTGAAACGACCCTTGTGGAAAAGCACGACGTTGCCGATGTCCTCTTCCTCGGGAATTTAACCCCCGTTTCGGGGTGCAGTGAGGTCTTCGCCTTTTCGAAACACACGTACACGCGCGATAAGTCTCTCTGCCTTCCGACGGGGAAAGGCATCCCACTCAACAAGGCCCGCCCCACCCCGCAAGGGACCTGGCCACAGTCACGCAAGAGTTCTATACGTCTCAACAATTCTAAAGCAAATGAAGCTGACGCTCATCGTCTGATGGAAAGTGTTTGAAACTCCTAAAAGAGGTATCTTGTGTCATTTACCTAAATAATGCAAACTGAAAGAAAAGGGGAAAAACCTTTGAATATCAGAAACCCCTCTAAAATAAAAAGTTCATTACGCAGTAGCAGGTTTGTTTTGGTTTCAGACTGACAAAATTATTTGATGTATGATCACTCACAAAAATAAAATATAGGGGAAACTTATATTGGTTAAACAGAACCAGCTCCAAGAAGGTACTGGGGTTTTAAATATTTTTGAATTCTTTCATTTTATTTTTTGCTTATTATCTGCAATGTAATGAAAATAGATTCATTCGTTTGTTTAGGACCGCATGCTTAGTTTCTAACAATTTTTTATATTTGGTCTATCAAAACGAACTTTTAATCTGGAATTAACGTAGAATGAACTGTTAAAGAAAAAAAAAGAGGAAGCACGCCATCACACTAGAAAATACAAACCGAGGTTCTTCAAAACAGATGTCAGGTGTCACACAGGCATTTCACGCTGATAAAAAAGAATTCATAAAGTGAAAAAGCGTGCTTTGGGTACGTATCTATACACAAAGTGATTTCCTAGGTGCCGCCATAGACTTCAAAAAAATTTTCAAATCTGAAAAAAAATATTTGCATAAAACTTGAAATTAAGATTATTATATCTAAAATCTGACTTTCACCATATATTTGAGGCAATATCTATCCATTCATATGCAACACTTGTATTAAAAAATCGATATACTTGTGTTACACCATATAGGAAAAAAAAATACGGCTATATTCAGAAACTTGGATATAATCCGCCAGATAAACCTACCCATATGAGGGTAATAGAACTTGTGGGATTGAAAAAATGTATATATACCACCTTAACCCTAGAGTAGGATCCCATATTTATATACAAACAGCGGGAGGGTAAACTTAAGCCTTCATCCGTCGTGAATTTTCCCTCATAGACTTTAGCTTGAAAAGTATTTTGGATAGGATAAACCGCTTGGCATACTACCCTTCATGAGATAATCTCAAATGGATCGATAGGGTATTGAAGGAAGACGTCACAGTGTATGTCGTCAAAAGGCAAAATGGCTCAAGCACTTAGTGCCCTTTCAATAGTTCCTCTAAATGGGAAACCGCATTTTGCATCGTAGGAATCTTGAATAATGGAGTTATGTGTCGATAGAAGCAACGGCATAGATGCCAGGTATTCCATGGTCTCCCTTTCTATGCTGGGGTTGTGTACCATCGGCACAAACCACTGTGCACCTACAGCGCCATGCTCCAACTTACCCACCTTTGTGTAGCCTGCCTCAACACCTGCCGCATGATAAATTACAGGAAACGTACGACGCACGTTGTTGTTACTTACATCTATGGGATTTGGATCAGTTGCCAAAAGAGGTGGGGTGAGGCTAATAAAGGTCATCGCAGAGGTTCTTTTCCCGTCCACCCACTTGGGTACGGCAAGCCTCGTGTAAATCTCCTCACCCTGTGCAGCGTACGCTCGTTTATAAAGATCAATCACAAACCGAGCTACCACCTTGAAATCGATTATCTTTTCTGAGTGTGGGTGCTCGATTTCATCTAGTGGTAAGTGCTTCACCCAGTTTTTATCGTACATCACGGTTAGGTGCATTAGAAATATCGTCCGAGGAGCCGAAAGCTCATTGGCGTAATCTAAATCCATGAAACCTGCACGTACACCGTAAGTGGACCGTGCCGCCTGGCGCTCATGCAATGGCAACGAGAAAACGTCCTGTTCGACCTCCCACGCTAAGAGATCCAGGTACAGCGCTGTTAAAACAGACTGATCACAGTCCCATCCCTTTCTAGGTTTATATTTTGTAGGTTGTGTTTTGATTAAATAATTTGTCTTCTGTAATAACTCGTTGTATGCCCACACACGAGCAATCACAACACCAGAGTTGATATACCGATGTGATGATAAGTCAAAAGACGAGACTAGCTTATGCTCCGGGTGTGCAGTGGTATATCTTCGCACTTTTGCATAGACTGTGCTAAATCTAGAGATGCATTCAGGCCAATCATGAAGTATGTTCGGTGCCCAACAGCCAGTCTCAGCACTAGGTATGATCGGTGCCATCGCATGGTCTTGCCTAACAGCCAGTGCGTCTAGCTCCTCCGGCGTCGCGGCAGACTGCGCAATGAAACGATCGATAAAGGGATGAATGTCTACACCTGTAAAAACCGTGTCGGAATCCATTATAATGGCAACATCGTCCGGATTCAGCTGCGCATTCTTGATGGCACTTTCCGCGAAGTCGAATTTGGATAGAAACCCATTGTATTCCATCTGATAGCCGGCTACCACCACGGGCAGCCCGCTTAGGTAGGCTGAGCCCACTGAATAGCAAAGCGTATCATCAGTTTGATCACTCATAATGAAGATAACGACGCGAGGCCCTGTGGTTCGAACAAACATATCCAACATTTTATCATTGGAAATCACCGAGGGCACAAGGGAGATCCAATTCGAATCCTTAGCGTAAAATAGCCAAAGGACTATAAAAAGTGTGCTGATGAAACTAACGACAAGCGACCGCCAGAAACGAGCCCTAGAAATATTACTTTTCAACTGCTTTCTTGAAGAAGGTTGTAATGATACCATTGTTCTAGTCAACTTTTTTTTGTAAGGCTTTGAGAATTGATTGTTTATGTATCCAAATAAAACTAACACAAAGTGAATTATAGCAGGATCTAAATAATTTCAAATGAAATAAAGTGGAAAAGGAAATAAGAATAGAAGATAATCATATTAAATGTTTTAAAAATAGTCTGTAGATCGTTCACATTTCAAAATTTCCAAGGCCACCTCTCAATTGCAAATGATGTTTGTCAGTAAGTTCTTCGTACTTGGTGCCATGTGCAGAGGCACTTCTTAAAGCGGCTTTGAACTGAAGTTCTCCGAGTAAATGAGGGGAGAGAATCAAGATCGATTCCTGTCGGATCTTTAGACCCTTAACAATCCCATCGCCAATGCTGAGTGACACCTCGTTCTGCTCCTTATCAACGGACCATATTGCACTTGAATTAGTATAGCAAATATGAAATGAAATTCTACACGGTTCTTGTTGCTGAACCATCAACAATCGTTAAGGGCGCAGACAAACAAAGAACGTCAAGACTAACATGAACAGTGAAAGATCAACTTCAAAAAAGTCAGGCTTGATGCCGGACCTCACAAGGACTGGAAGATAAGGCTGACCAACTTCAATGAAGAAAAGTGGCTTAGTGAATGTTATACGAAGGACAGCAAACAAGATAATTCTGCTTCTAGCTAATACTAAAAGTGAAGGTTTGCAGGATAATTAAACAAAGGAAAAGTAATAGGGGAGATGTTGTCCTTTCTGGACTTAAAATGTTTGTGGACGATGATATCTTTTTTTAAAAAAGTCACACCATTGTTTACCCCACGAGCTACACCTAGTGATATGTGTACGATATACCAGTCTTCATGGTATCTATACACAACGGTTAGGATGAAGATCTCTAACATGAATTCGCCCCCAAACGCGAGGGGTCCAAGTAAGACAGTCACTTTGCCACTGAAAGATATCGATTCTTTTGTGAAAGTTCTCTTGAGTTCTCAACTTTCCTTTTCAATTGGCGGTTTAGTTTGGGGGCGTGATCCTGATAGACAAAAATGACAACTCTGATTTTTTCGTACTATACATTCAATTATCATCTGCTTTGGGGCAACTCCTCCTAGTGCGTGTCATCGTAATAGTATAAGCTGCGCTCAAAGAAGCTTCAATCAATACATCTGATGTTGAAGAGAATATGCTCATTGATTGCCACCTTCAAATTCTAGAAACTAAATGACTCCTAATATCTTATTTTGAGTATAAATAATTCAAAATGGAAAAGAAGTAAAAGGATAAAAACATGTCAATTCGCAGCGCTTGCGTGTTTTTTCTACTTATGACAGATCAATAGCATCAACAAATGAAGAAACAATATTATGATTTCGATTATTTTATTTTTGAGTTACATAAACAATTTGATTAAAAATCAACCTGACCGATCTTCTTCGTAGTTTGTGGTTTTCTGAATTTAAGGCAATGGTAATAATGATAGGCAATATGCGCAAAACATAATGCGATATAGTATGCCTCTATTAAAGTACATTTCATACTTAATATCAATATAAAATCAGGAACACCCATGTAACTCCAAAAAAGCGAATTACACATTGGATCTTAATGCTGTGGGGCCTGATGGTGGGGAACTTCTTAAAATTTATAAAAACTAGGTGGGGATGATGATGCGCTCCATTATTAGCCTGGTTGTTTTCACAACATTTCATCCTAACCATCATGGCATTAATTATAGAATCAAGAACTAGGTATGATACCTATATTGGATTTGAACCCCTGCGCCAGTCTCCACCCCAACCTTGATCAAAATCTTAATCCCCATACCACCCCCCACAAAAATCGGTTCCCAAACCCAAGCCCGAATCATGCCACCCAGGTTCATTTCATTATCCATTAAACACGATGTTTAACAGCGCGCAGTCATAATTTTACACACCCGTTAAAGGTAAGCTCTTAAAAACAAAAATAAATTCACCACAAGCCGCGTTCCACCGACCAAACACCTAAACCAAATGGAAGCATTGATAAGGGTGTGGAATCGATTTTCTATGGCGAGTAGGCGCTTATACTTCCACCGAAAATAAAATGTAAAGCTTTGAAAAAGCGACAACATAGCCAAAACATGTTGGGCAGAGATGTTAGCGCATCAAAACTAAAAGAAATCAAACCCGTCACCCATCGGTGTTTTTTTGCATCTTAACCGACACATTCTTGAGTTTAAAATCCAACTCTGCGTTCCAAACTGGTTTGGAAACTCCCCCCACCCCTACTTCAATTAAATTATAAATATAAAATAAAAATTTACCCCGCCCAAACTTATATTTCAAAATGGTACCTGTCCACGAAACCTTTTTGATGGATGCCAATTCCTTTTGTTATGGCAATGCCACCAACAAGTAGTATTCTTTTACAAACAACGTCCAAAATAAAGATTCAAGCCACGGTGAAAAAGATCCTGTTGAATTCTAAAAAGTTCCATTTATGTTTATTGACACTTTAGTAGTAGTAGAATCCATCAAACAAGTCCAAGTGTCGTCTTCAGAGTTCTTTTATAAATTAAAGATATGCCCCCGTTGAATCCCATTTAGAGATTCTATGAGTGAAAAAAGGTTACCCGATAACCAAATCAAAGCATAAATGTGAATTTGGACACCGATGGAAAGAATAAAAAACCACACGTCCCATACATTTCAACTGTTTACGCGATGGCCATTTGAAAAGCGGCATGGGGTTGGATTCAGCCTTAAAC